CCTGAACAAGCACTTGATCCTGGACAGCTCCCCTCTGCTCTTAGCAGCAAAAGGCTTCTCTCTTCATCTGGGAGCTCTGCAACTGCACTAGTGGTTGGGGCATGACCTATGCGGAAGAAAGCAGATGCATGCCAACACAGTGGGCACAGATACAAAGCCAGGCCCAAACCCTGTTTATAGTCAAAGGGCACCACCACCACCTCTTTGGCAACAATTTCTATTTTCTATTCTGCTAGGTGGAAAAAAACAAACTATAAACCTATTTTTTTTTCTTTTTTCTTTTTCTTTTTTTTATTGTGAATCCAAACAAGAAAGGAAAAATGTAAAGAATATTAAAATATTTACAAGTTTGCCTTTCTGGTTTTCATCCATGCTGACAACCATTTACAAAGTGGTGTGCTGTTTAATGTGGACTTACACGCACCCTGACATGGCCACATACTTGTGACGCTTAACAACGGTGTTGTCCTTTCTCTTGACGGCATTCCGGGTGAGCTCAGCATCACTTCTGTTAAACCAAAGTAATCCTTTCCAAGTGTCTGTGCCTCCATGAATAACATGTTAAGATCATCTTTGTGCAAATGGCAACGGTTTATTTGGGAGTACATATTGGGGTGGACTGGCGTGTTTTTCAAGAGAAAGCATTTTCCGAAGTAGTTTCTGATCCACTCTTTACTTCAAAACTCTCCTGAAATCCCAACCAGGTTGGAAGGATGACCCACTGTGTAAACACACCTGTCTCCCAGTGCTGACTGAACTTTACTTTCAAACCACACCAGCTTGTGAGTGGACAGCTGCTGACAAAATACTATTTTCACAGTGGTTGTTTGTTCCTGGTGTTGGCATTGCAGGCTTTGTGCTTAGGCATCTCTTCCCCATGCCATTGCTGACACAACCCACACTTCCAGCACATACACACACACTCTCACACACATGCAAGCACACATTCACATCTGCACAAACTCCCACTAGCATGTGTATACACACACTCAGACATGCATGCACTCACAGACAAATGTATGTGCACTCACACACGCAGACACACTCAGACTTGCACACACATACATACAAGTGCACGTACACACACACACACACACAGACTCATGCACATGTACTCCAGAAGTCTGTGTGAGACACAAAGGAGGTAGTAGGTAGAGCTCAGTAAAGATTGTCATTGAATTTCCTTTCTCCGATAATTTAAATTGTGACTCCTCTCCATCTCCCGATTGCAAGACTCAGCAGGGAGGTCAGGAGAGCTGACTGCCCTCCTTCCAGGCATTCTGTGCAAATCAGGGTGGGGAAAAGGCACCCTAGAGAGACTAGCTCACCAAGCCCACCTCCCCTGAAAGTCCAGTTTCTCATACAGAGAAGTGACACTTGAAGGAGGGGACACCGACTCTTGAGAATGACAGAGTCACTGCTGCAGATGGCCAAGTGGCAGTAAACCAAAGATGCTGATTTCAGAGACTATGTCACATCCAGCCCTTACTGAGGGAAACTGAGGCACAGATAGACTGTATGACTGTCCAGGGTCATCTGAGCTGGTAACGCCCAACATGGCCGCCAAACCTGGCTGCCACTGGGTGTGTATTTTTCTGGACAGCACCGTTGCTATGGTTACAGATGCAAGACCAATCACCTCTGTCTTCACTAGATAGGTGTGGGTGTGCAGGGGCAGGCACCCAGGACTCTGCTGGATCTCACATGCATGGCCACTCTGCAACTGGAAACTGATACAGACTTGCTCTTATGTTATGATGACACTTCACAGGCCACATTCGTCAAGTGGAAAGTTCCGGACCTGAGAGTCAACAGACACAAGCCCGGTTTCACTCCACCCAGACAGCCGATGATGAACTGTGACTCCTCGCTCCAGATTCTGGTGATCATCAGCTGCAGACAGGGCCTGGCAGTGCTGAAGGTGGAAGGGAGAGACCCCAGGGAGCTAAGGGCAAGGATGCATACAAGTAGCAGGAGGGGTGCAGGGGCTGGTGGGTGAGAGGATGGAACCTGTCAGCCAGGACATTTGGCCAGGGCAGCCGGAAGCATCAGGTTGATAGCTGGAGAGTGGGGACTGACCTCCAGAGCCAGGTGAGAGGGAGGGCTGGGGCCCTAGGTAGGAGCCTGGGACCGAGGGTTGGGGATGTCAGGCAGCCAGGGACAGGTGAAGCCAGCAGGTAATGGCTCTTGAGGAACAAAGACATTACATGCTGGTGACCCAGGGCAATCTGAGTTGGTGCCACCTGGCCCAAAAGGTCCTAACCCAACTGCATGGGGTCCCTGTGGTCCCTGTGGTCCTACAGGGGAGCCTGGAATCCTGGTGGTAGGAAACTTCCAAAGCTGGGAGAAGACAGAGTCACCACAGGGCCCTGTTAAGAATCAAGAGCCCAAGGTCATCTCCAACCTGCTGATTCACACTATGTGAGGATGGATCCTGGAATCTGGAATCAGGAACTAGATAGAATCCACTTAGCTTTAACCTGTATCCTGGGATGGAAGGCCCATAGGGGATTCGCTGAGTCACACCAGTGAAAAGCTACTCCCTTGGGTGTATGAGGCCAGGACCTCCCTAGGCTGGGAAGTCCTGGAAAGGGCAACAGGAGATGTGTAGGTCTGCCAGGTCATGTCCCCAGACTGAGCTGGAAGCTGGGATGCCAGGCCTGGGGCAGACTCCCCACCCCTCTTGGGCCCAAGCTTGAGAGCAGGGTGCCCAGGGGGCTGCACAGCTAGTGTAGGAAACAACTTTGGGATGGGTCTGAGGGAGACATAAGGTCCTATTAATTTGGCTGAAATGGCCTTGAGCAGTAGTTGGGAACATCTTGGTACATAAAAGGAACCATGAGGCCCAAGGGGCAACAGACCTGAGACTACCCTGGATAGAGGATTCCCAGTTTCCAGAGCCTAGTGGGGCCACAAGACAGGAATGGGGCTAATGGGAGTCCACACCAGGTTCCAGGTGGTGGCTTTTGATTCAAGTAAAGGTGGTCTAAGGCCCCTTTGTTCATCCAGTAGGGGTCCCCTTATTAGGGGTTACAGTCAATTTAGGGATGCATCCAAGGACAGTGCTCACCCACATGTACACACTCATGAGAGCAGCAAGAAACGGATAATGGGTGTCACCGCAGGGGGCTTCTGCCATGCCCATCACGCTGACCCCAGTAGCCAAGGGGTCAGAGGACAGGGAGGGCCAGAAGGGCAAGCCCAGGAGAGACAAGCTTCTAGGCACTAGGGGTAGAAAGACCAATGAGCAAGGAGTGAGCCTAGGGGTCTAAGGATGTGCAGACCTTGAATGTCTTTCTTGCTGTTGTTGGTATTCAGTACCATCGAGTCAGATCTGACTCATAGTGACCCAGTACAAGGTTTCTGAAGAGTGGCTGGTGGATTTGAAGACTGCACCAGGACTCCCTTCGAGGGTTATAGAAAATCCCATCTTTTTCACAACACAGACCCAACTCTGGGGAACCCCCAGGCATCCACAGGCCTCTGTGAATGCAGGCAGTGGGACACCTGGTGTGAAGGGAATCTGAAATCTATTGTCATTTCTTTTAAATGCACCATAACTGCAAAGGCCACAGACCTTTCGATAAGCCTTTTGGGACTGTGTTACAGCTGATGGGTAACTCCATGTTCTGTTACTGAAAGGCTGCCCCCCACCAATCATTCACCAATCATCATGAGTAGGAGAGAACACGCCACAACATGATCTCACATTTCCCCTTTCAAGTCATTGATATCTTCTACTCTACATTTTTAATTGCTTTTTTAAAAATCTGTTTCATTAGCCTTCTATCCTTTATACCTTAATTCCATAAACAATTTATACTTATTTGCTCCCTGCTGCCCACAACAAAATATTTGAAGTAGTTTAAAATATAAACGCTCATACAAAATCACAGTAAGAAAAAGAAAATTAGAAAGAAGACAGGTCAAAGTTATACAGGTGGTGGTTATGTGTACTCTGAACTTGAAGCAAGATAGGTAAGAAAATCGAGTATTAAATTAGCTCAGAAATTCCTTGTAGCCAAAGTGAAAAGAGGGAGCATTCTTGCTGCTGGAGAAAAGGAAGCATCTTGTTGACTGGTCTTGAAACATCGAACATCAGTCCTCCTGTCCTTAGTAAAGAGGCGCTTTAGACATCAGTGAATAGAAAAGCAAGGCACAGTAGTGACTTAAAATGGGCCTTGATGCTGGCAGGCACAAAGCGATTGCGGCAGGACTATTTGTCTGGCTACTGACATCAACCACTTGATGATCTGATTGTCACTGGATGTTACTCAGATTTTTATCCATGCTTTTGTTTTCCTTTCACCAAACTGAAATGTTAACACAAGCGTCATCACTCAACAAATATTCGGAGAATAGACAAAATTATAGAAACATTTAGAAACACATATTCTACTCATCTCTCTAGGAAACCCTGATCTGGTATAGCATTTTCCAAACTGGTAATGAGAAACTGCTATTACTTTGCTCTGGAAAGAAGGTTCTGAGGTCAAATATATGTAGGAAATATGAGGTAAACAAAGGTTAACCACTTCTTTCCTATAGGACTCGTCAGTGTCTTTAGCAGGCAAATCTGTGTTGAGAGAAAGTCCTGCACTCACTGACCATATGGTCATACTGTGTGAGGGTATACTAACATCCTCTGTAAATGTCAAAAGGCTTGCAGAGTGGAAAGACCACAGAATTTCAAGACAGATGACCTGTCTCTCCATCCCAACTGGACCAATTCTTGTGTTATCATGGGGAAGTCTTTCAGTGTGGATAAGTTTCAGGTTCCACATCCATCAAATGGGTCAGATGGTAAATTACCTGACTGCAAGCACATTGCAATGACTCAGTGGAGAATGTGAAGGAGCAATTGGTCATCACCAACCACCTCCATGGGGGGACTATCAAAAACGTTAAGTCACAACCTGCTAAAAAGTGAAAGTGGTGAAGGCAGCTGGGATGCAAGTTTGCCTGAAGACTAGGGAGATAGTCCAGCGTGCTGGCGGGTGTTAGGGTGCAGGGCTAATGGGGTCCTTGGAGATGGGGGTACTGGGCAAGGACTTCAGGTACTCCAGGTGCCTCCTGGCATCCTCTTGGTTCTGGCGCACATAGTATACAACGTAGGCGATCACCATGGCGAACCAGCCAAACATGGTGACCAGCATGGCCACATCGGTAGTCCTGTGGTGGGCACTGCAGAAACTGACACCAGCGTCAAGGGCCTGGATCAGAGGCTTCCCTACAAATTCTTCACGCACGGAGGTGTGGCAAGCAATGGCATCTGCAGAGTCAGGGTCCAGCCGCAGCCCCCACAGGGCCTCTTGCAGGGCACATTCGCAGTGTAAGGGGTTATGGGACAGGCGGACTTGAGCACTGAGCTTCCCCAGGGCATCCTTGGGGATCCTGCGGATACGGTTGTGGGACAGGTCCAGCATCCGCAGGCCCCCAGCTAGGCCAGCAAAAGTTCCTGGACCAATGGTCTCGATAGCATTCCCAGACAAGTCTAGCTCCTTCAACTGGCTCAGATGCTGGAAGGCTCCGTCAGGGATGCGAGCAATCTGGTTGGCATCGAGCTTCAGGAGAACGGCATCGGTAGGGATGTCCTTGGGGACCTCCCGCAGGCCACTGGCACTGCAGTGCACAGCCACTGCCCCTGCGTGCTCCGGACACTGGCAGCCCTGCGGACAGGCGGCCCCCAAAGGCAGGCAGATGAGGAGGAGAAGGTACGGCCCTCCCCTGGGGACCTGCAGGGATGGGGGGCTCTGTCTGCCCAAGAGGGCCATCCTGCCTGGGGCCGGTCCTGCCATGGAGGCTCCTCCCCACTCCCTGGACAGCCAGCTGTGTGAGGAAACGTTCCTCGAAGACATAAATTCTCTTCTCCTTATGTGCCAAGGAAAACGGTGCACTCTACCTTCTAAGAGAGAAAAAGAAGGATGAAAGCGAGGAAGGGCGCCATCAGCGCTGCCAATGTGGACAATTGGATCTGGGCATCTTTTGGGAAGGCTATAAATTGAACCAGCTGCCCAGGGATGGTCACTCTTCTTTAAATAACTTACCCCGAAACTCCCAAAGGAACCATAAAAGTGGTTCCTAAGGCTGAGGGTATTCTCACTGACCACAGGCTGGGCGCACCCACCGCACAGATGGAGGAGCGAACCCTAGCCCGCGCGCCCTGTGCCCCTGCCCTGGCTCCTCCAGGAATCCTGGCTGTGGGCTCTCCCAGGAGAGCTCGGGAGAATGCCATATCAGACTGGCTCAGTTAGCCACCCAGAGGAAGGGTCGCGCGCACCACCGCGGCAAGCCGGGTTTGCTTGTGGAAAGCTTAATTCCTTGCTAATTTTGACAGTCTTTTTAAAAAAATGATAATTTTTCTTCGGTCCGTGACCCAGCCCAAACGGGAACAATTGCCAGTACCAGGTGCGGGGCCATAGCCTGTTATTTCATTAATGTTCCGGAGGGTGGGGAGAGGGAAAGCAAAGCAGGGCTGGAGGTGGCCGCGCGGGGGTGAGGGCGGGGGTGGCTCGGACCTGAGAAACGCGGACGCGCGGCTTGATGGGTAGTGGGCAGGGGACTGGGGCTTTACCTGCTGCCGCTCGACTGCGAGGTTGCTCTGCGCGAGCCAGCCGGGCCCCGCGCCACACCCGGCGCGCTGCGTTGCCCGCAGACCCAGAGCCCAAGCCACGAGCCGCGGGCGGACACGCGCGCCTATGGGCGGGGCCTGTGGGTGGGGCAGAACTTTGGAGGGGCGGAGCCTTGAGAGGTAGAGAGGTGGAGCCTAGGGCAGATCGGGACCTGAGGGCAAGCGGGGTCTGGGGAACATGGGAGGGATCCAGGGAGAAAAGTAGAGCATGTGGGAGAGTAGGACGAAGTTAGGGTGGTGCCTGTGGATGGACACGCGCGAAATGGGGCGGATCCTGCGGAAAGAGCAGAACACCGGAATGTGGCGCTTTGGGACGGGGGCGGGATGGAGATGGACGGTGGATCAGACCCTGAAGGCAAAAAGGGTGAGAAAACAGGGAGGTCACGTGACGGTACAAGAAGGAGCCTGTGGGACAAGGGGCGAGACCTTGGGCGGGGCGGGGATAAAATGGAGCTGTGAGAGTTGTGGGGTGAGGCGGGGCCGAGGGAGGGGATTATGGTGGTTGGGCGGGGCTTGGGACCGAGGCAGGCAAGGTGAGGAGGGTATGTGCATTTCCGGGGCGAGGCTCTGGGAAAGGAGGTTGTGGACTAGGCAGGTAATTTTAGATACTGTAGTTGGGGCTGTGCAATATCAGGATGCCCTGGGCCGGGGCTAGTTGGCGGGGCCTATGCAGGAGGTGTGTCTGTGAGGCCACCTAGTCCTGATTTTGCACGTCCAGGCGTCAGCCTAGCGCTGGTCCCAGTTCTACAAGTACTCTGGATGAACACCCTCCTTGCTGACGCGATTGAAGCCCTAGACCTGGAGATTCTCACATAAGCACAGGACCAGGCCTGGTATGATCCTGTCTCATAGCTTCTACTCCCCTACCTGAGTCTTACAGTCCCTGTGAGTGAGTGTCCTTAAAATGTCAAGGAATAGAAGGGGTGGGGATATTTGAGCAGGACCTGAGCAATCCTTATGGTTTTGAAAGACAGCTTTATTGAAGTGTAAGTACGAAAACAATAAACTGCATATAGTGTAAATATTAATACGTTTTTATATTTGCATACACCAGCGAAACCATCACCACTATCAAGATAATAGAAATTCATTATCCCAAAATTTTCCTCTTCTGTAGATGTTTTTTGACAAAAGGAGGGGAGTGATTGATTTTGTAGCCCAGGAGCAGAGGAGGTCCCCGTGACCATCAAGTGAAAAGAGTGGAGAGCAGACCCTACCCAGAGAGGCAGTGACGCCAGAGATGGACACAGAGACTATGACTTGGACAGATAGAGTGGCTGGGGACACTGGACTCAGGGAGGGAGAGGAGCTGTGTGCTGACGACCCGTGAGGTGGGCCTGTGGGGTGTACCCTTTGGTTATTTGCTGATGCACGGAGGAGATTCTAATCATTGAAATGAAAAAAAATAAGATAGGATGAATGTAAAACTGATGTTCTCCCATGTAAACCCACATAATTAACAATTAAAACTTTTTTTTTAAAGTTTCCTCTTCGTAATCCCTCCCTACTCTCCCGACTTCCTTGAGGTAATAAGCACTGATCTGATTTGTCATTATAGATTCTTTTGCATTTCATATAATTTTATATAAATGGAGTCTTGGTGTGGCAGTGTAGGATAAGCACTGGACTGCTAACTGCAAGGTCGGTAGTTCAAACCCATCAGTCACTTATCAAAAACATAGATAACTCAACTCTATGAGTTGTAATCCACTGATGGCACTTAACAGCAACAACTGGAATCCTACAGATAGACGTTTTTGTCTAGCTTTAAGCAGCGTAATTATTTTGCCCATCTTGTTGCGTTAAGATTTGTCCATCATGTGTTTTCCAGTAATTCATTTCTTTTATCGCTGAGTAGTATTCCATTGTTTATTCATGCACCTGTTGATGGACATTTGGGTTGTTTCCAGTTTTTGACTATTGCAAAAAGCTGCTATGAATGTTTGTTTACAAGTCTTGGTATGAACATGTGTTTATTTCGTTTGAGTCAACACCTAGGAGTGGAATGGCTGAATCTTATGATAATTTTATGTTTACTTTCTTGAGAAACTGAGAAAGAAGTTGTACAGTTTACATTCCCACTGATAGTACGTGAAGATTCCCACATCCTCACCAGCACTTGGTATGCGCAGTGCAGTGAATTACTTTTATATGGCTCATCTAGCTATGGTCTTGTAACTCCCACAAAACAATTTTATGGAACTATGCAAATAAGGTATGTAAAACTCTGGAATTGGCTGGGATATTCAAATGAGGTACCTGTGGCCCACCAAAGGTCAGTTTTTCCATTCTATTAGGTTTAAAAGGAGCCATTCCCAGAGGTTAAGGGAGGGCCTCATTTCCATCAAGAAGAGCTAGAAGCAGAGCATGTCCCTTGGACTCAGAGTCCCTGTGGCTGAGAACCTCCTAGACCCAGGAAACAGTGCTGTAGCACTGGAAATGGTGCAAGATGGTGAAAAGCTAAATAACTGTAACAGACTAGAAGACAGTAAAGAGAATTAACAACTAAATGCAATGTGGGACTCAGAACCAAGCAAAGGCCTTTAGCGAAAATACTGGTGAACTCCAAATAAGGTCAGTAATTTACTTAATAATAATATTATAAATGGTAATTTTCTGGGTTTGATCATTTACATTAAAGGTGATGTTGATGTGGTTGGACTTGAATCTGTCATCTTGCTCTTTGTTTTCTTTTTACTTTTTTTCCTCTTTTCTTGCTTTCTTTTGGGTTGAGTATTTTTTATTATTCCGCTTTTTCTACTTGACTGTCTCCTTAGCTGCAATTTTTTGTTATATTATTTCAGTGATTGCTTTAGGGTTTATTCCTGTTAACTACCATCTAGTCAATCCCTGGCTGATGACCACCCCATGCACAATTAAATGAATTGTTGCTTTAGCTCAGTGGGATGACCATGACTGGACTATTGTAATTGACAGAGTTCTCACTAGCTGGATAAGCACTGAAAGTAGTAGAAGTAGATCAGTAGATCTTTCTTCCTAGTCCATCTCAGTCTGAAAACTCTGCTGAAACCTGTTCAGTATCATAGCCACATACAATCCTCAACTGACAGATGGCTGGTGGCTTTGTGTGAGGTACATAGTGCAGGATTGGAATCTGGGTCTTTTGCACAGAAGGTGAGAATTCTACCACTGAATCATCAACATTCCCTAAAGTTTATAGTTGTTGTTGTTAAGTGCCATTGAGTCAGTCCTGTATTGGGATTCTGAGGAGTGGTTAGTAAGCTTGAACTGCCAACCTTGCAGTTCAAATCGACCTTGCAGTCCAGCACAAGAACCCACAGTGCCACACCAGTATACTTCTATAACTTTTCACAATTTATCTTCAAGTGATGGTATAGCATGTCACATATATATGAACTTTACAGAAGGGTACTTTCACTTCTCCCCTACCAACCTTTGTGCTCTCCTCACACATTTTACTTCTGTGTACAATAAACTCCACAATGCATTTTTAATTTTACTTTAAATAGCCAATTATCTTTTTTTTTTTTTAATGTTTTATTGTGAATTCAGTGAAGGTTTACAGATGAGATTGTCAGTTTTCCATTCATCGTATCATACACTTTGTTTCATCTCAATGATTACAATCCCCTCCATGCAACAACAGTTATCTCACTTCCTCCCTGTGGTTCCTATTTCCATTCCTCCCTCTTTCCCATCCTTTCTCAATGTTGTCCTTCGGTAAATGCTGTCCTTTTAATTTTAAATGATTGATTACTCCATGATGCTGTTCCCCCTATAATACCTATCTACTGCTTGGCTGAAAATGAGCCACAAAGGTGGGTTCCTTTCCAGACCTGAAGAGTGATTAATGGCCACAGTCTCAGGTTCCATCCGTCTCTTTCTGACCAATAAGCCTGATCTTTTATTAGTAACAATTTTGAATTTTGACATTGAGAAATGTCCCATATTTTCTCCCACTCTATCCGGGACCTCCTAATTTTATTCCTTTCAGAGCCCTAGGTACTGGTAGCTGGGCACCATCTAGATACTTCTTCTGGTCTCAGAGTTGCAGAGACCGATGTTCACAAGTTCCATTACTCCACTGGACTAAGCGATTGCAAGCATCATCAGTTCTCATCCCTCTTCTTTCTTCCACACATAGCTGCACCTTTGATGGTT